TTATGCATATAAAATGCATTTTTTAGATGTAATTTTTTGTCAAAACTAACTAAATCTATTGAATACTAGATTACTAGATAATGCCTAAAACCTAATTAGTTATTTCTTTAATCAAAATAATATCATAAATAATACTTCTAGTAGAAAATAGGCTAACAGATCGTCTTCACTCAGAATTGTATTACGTATACTATAATGATTGTATTTGTAGGTATATGATTGAATTCAAATTTAACACATCCATTACAGTGTTTCCAATTCATWACTAATATACAGCAGAACGCTGCCACTTACCCGCTTTTTATGATTATAATATACACTTTTATTTATCAATAAAGACCGAATGAAAATTTTAGAATATTTCCTTAAAATGTTATATATGCACTATGTAGTACATATGACGTGTTTGTATACAAGGCATACAAATGTATAGTATAGTTTATAGGAAATAAATAAATATATTAATATTATAATATATATTGTATTTACTTTTTATATTTTATTATTTAAGATGTTAAATTGGTAGTAATTTAATACAAATAATCAATTTCACAAAAGGTAATGCTGACCTTGACCTCTGGATAACAAATATACATTATTTCTACGTTCTTATTATTACATAAGCTTATAATCTATAAAATATATCATGCAATTTATGCAATGTTGAATTTATATTTTATAATAAAATAATTCTTATTACACTCTCATTTGGCATCAGCGTCTTATTAAATTTATCAGAATTAATTTTAAGTATCTAGTTATTAAGATATACTGTACATACTACATTTTTATAACTTATACTATATAATATTTGAATGTATGTATGTATAGCTCTGGTAGTTGGTACACTTTTAAATTATAATATTTAATATACACATTATTTGCATGAACGCCGGACTCCAGTATCATGGGTCCGTTTTTTAACCCCTCCCCCACTTGTGGGTGCCATGGTTGATAGTTCTATACCAAATTGCGAAATGAAGTATAATAGCGTTTTTCAATGGTTTAACCACGATTTTATTTTACAAATCTTTAGATTAGGGCTGAAATCTAACCACAGGATTGCTTAATACAAGTGGACATCAGGATATCCTAGGTACCTATGCTATGTGTAGTGATCTCCACCATCGTTAATAAAAAATGAGTTCTTCAACGGCGCTGGTGTCGTTCCAAGTACTGATCAGGTATGACAAAAGTTAGAATTAAGTAATATACGACAAAAACAATATTTGTTAGTAATAATTGTATTTTATTTGAGTGATAGAAATTTAAGGACAGAATGAAAAGTATCGGCCCGAGAGAAAATTTAATAAGTATTGGGATTAACCAAAAAAACATTGGCAAGACTCGTTGGAGGTGACGCGACACCAAACACAAATAAACTTAAGGAAATCAAACTATCAATCAACCCATGGAAAACCTCCTCACATTCATCCAGGCACAAAGAATTAGTTATCACAAGGTCTCGGATTGGACACTCCCGTCTAACGCATTTGTACCTTATGTTTTAAACTTATAACTTATAACAGTTATAACCAAAGAAGATTGCCCGACCTGTGAACTCTGTGATGACAACGAATTGACAATCAAACACATTATACTCTTGAATGCCCCAAATTCAACACCTTCAGAGAAATCCTCGGAAATCCATCATCGATGAAACAAGCACTTGGAGAATAGAACTGCAATAATATATACAATTTCTTCACAAATATAGGTGTAGCAAAATTAATGTAATTAAAAAGAAAAGAAAAAAAAATGTTATATAATATATTTTACATAATACATTCCCCTTTCTATGTCTGACATAATGTCTCCCTATAAAATTATTACCTTATAATTATCTTAGGCTAATGACCTGTGATGTTCTTTAATCCAATGAAAAAAAAAAGTATTGGGAATGAACTTATATATAGCGCCATAGCGGTGATGTTGAGGACTAAGCTATGCTAAGTTCTACATTTGGGACTTGGGAGATGCAAAACTAATTCTAATTTACATTATGGATAAAGAGTTTTGCATTTATACAGTCTTCCCTAGCCTATGCGTATATGGTAGAGACTAGAAGGTGGATTTAGAAAAGGCACCGACAAAAAGTTGTTGTAGTCTTCATCCTTGGTGGAATTCTTGGAACAAATTATTGTTTACTGAAACCGCAAAACCCATATACTAAGGATAGTAATTTTTATTACAACTTACATAGTAGATGTATTACGATGAGCTCATGGTATCATCATTCGTATATTTTAAACTAGTAAAATATAATTTATTATTATATAAATATTATATTTTATATTTAAGTAAAATGACTGCCTGGTAATCGAAAGAAAAATCCCCAGACTACAATATTACTCATATAACCACATGAAAATTATTTCAATATTCAATTACAAATAGGTATATTATATATTATAATTTATACTTATCATTCGARAAAATAATATTTTATAAAATATTATAAATAATTTTAAATAAATTCAAAATATATAAATATTTCGAAAGATCGAGTCAATATGATATAAAATATAGGTGGGTATTGGGAAATAATAATTAATAATACTTCTATACTGGAAGTAGATTTTTAACTGTTAAAAAAATAATAAATAAAAATATTTTTACTGTAATAATAATGATAATAATAATCACAGTTAGTTATTGAATTGAAGTTAAATATTTATATTGAAAATTTGAAGTTCTTAAATCCTACACATTATCGTCAACATATTATGGAAAACATAATATGTATATAAGTATATTATTTACTATACTGCATTATTGAATTAATTTTTTGGATGTTCAAGGATAATACATACCCAATAAACTTATTTGTAAAAAATATTTATATAAATCATTTTCATATGAGTAATAATGTAATATGGAGATTTTTGTTCTTAGGGACGGGAAGTTTTTTCTGGGGATTTTTATCGCAAAATTCGTCGATATATTATACGTGGAACTGGTTCGTTCTAGCTATTCTTGTGTGGCAGCTGCCGGCTGAGTTATTGGTTTATAAATAAAACGTTAAAGCTTATTTCTGTTAAAACAAAAGGTATTTAATTTTAATTCTTGGCTATACATTTATAATGGAAGACTGTGATTTGAAGACATCAGGGAAGAGAGCTTTAAGACCGTAAAGTGAGAAAAATTGAAAAATTGTGGGGATATCCTGATAATGTTATGTACCTAATATAATATAACATCGTATACGTTTATACATTATACTTTAGTCACTATACACGCGAATACGATAACCAGTGATCAACATGTTCCACGTACTATACGGTCTATACGTACAATACGCGTGGCTGCGGGTGAATGTCGAGTGACTGTGAAACGGGGACTCGTAGAACTACGCCCCTAAACGGCATAAACATTATTTTATAATATGTCCTGATGTTTGTGACGACGTGACGATAGAATATCAGCTACACTCTACAGCCACTACACTACTACAGCAAGTATCAACATTTGCGCTGTGCCCCTGTCCACATGGTGCTTAGATGACCGTGAGGCGTGAACGTACGTCATAAAATCTTCGACTTCAAATTTATACTTTTACGAAATCATGTGCACGAGATGACTATGTCATGGCTATTAATGTCGTATAATTTCCGGAATTGTCAATAACAATATCGAATTCGCAGGAAACATAATCCGTACCTACTTACCTACTCGGCACACGTTAAACGTGGATAACGATATGTATATCAAATAGACGCCTTTAAAAGTTTAAACYGTATAATATATTGTGAATGACATAAATACAACAAATAACAATGCGTGGTCAGTGGTCACGCATTATTCACATAACTCCCTTGTATATTATTATTATTATATATTAATATTAATTTGTATTAGGTATTATATGTATACGAACTACGAAGGTATATCGTATATTATATTATGTTAAAGGCGTAACACTGCGCATAATAAACGACTATCGTCATTGACCATTTATGTCACAATTTTCTCGGCTTAGAAATAAGAAGAACAATTGTTTTAGTACAATTAATGGACCGCGGTTTATTATTTTACACAAATATTATAAAAGTAAAGTCTTATATTATATCGTAGAACGTAGATGTACTTATGAGTTATGACCAGGGCTGTGAATTTATAGGAAAGTGCATTTTTTTTTGGTGATTCTAAAACATAGCTTTATAAGTACATAATTTGAATTACATAATTACGAATCCATCTATGAAACTTTTATTTTGCATATTTTGACGTTTTTAATTTTTTAGGTCATTTTTCGCATTTTTAGGTCATATCTCGCATTTTTAGGTTATATTTTGCTTCTTTAGTTCATTTTCTAGTATTTTTAACCAAATTCCGTCAATTGACTTGTTTGAAAACATTTTTTTTTTATTTTACACAGACTATACATTATGTCAAGTACCCGGAAACAAATATCTTTAAGTTTGTTTTATTATTTTAACAAAATAAATACAAAAAATTTTTTTTTGATGTTTCAGGTGAATAGCATTAACTTAATCCAGATTCAATCAACTTTTTTATTAAATAAACACTTTTTAGTATTAATGTTTAATATCCTGTACCTAATATTAATATAAATTATAAATATAAAAATTAAATTAAAAACCATTTTAAATGAATTTTATACTATAATTTTTGGCATTTTATATTCCTTTTTTTGGAATTTTTAAGGGTTTTTAGGGCCAGTTGTACCGTTCTGTAGTTAAACATCGATTAGCTAATCAGTGATCAAATTTTAATCAATGATTAACTATTGATGTGTTGTATAGTTGCTGGTATGGCTGTGATTAGGTAATCGATGATTAAAATGAGACTAATAAATTATTGTATACTTGTTTACAATATTTTTTTTTATTGTTGGCACCAGTTCAYGCTTTATCACAAAACTACTGATAATATTCAAAATAATTTTAAATCTACTTATATTGGAACTGTTATTATTTATTGTTAATATTAAAAACACTTTTTTAATACTTAGATGTTTATTATTTTACTAAAATATATTATATTACTATGGAAGCTACCAAGAAGCGTACTACTAATTTTACGGCTTCAGAAGAAGAATTATTAATAAGTTTAGTGAAAAAATACAAATCTGTATTGGAATGCTTAAAAACTGATGCTGTAAATATATAATATTATATATAATAATATATATAATATATATATATAATACCCGTAGCTAATATTGGAAAACGACGTTTCCAAACGCCATAGCTTCTTTCCACAGTATTTCTCGTACGGATTAAAGATTCATTATATTTATCAACAGCTTCTGCAGTTATACCAGATATAGGATTTATTAGTGTGCCAGGGTTTCCAACTAAGGTCATAACAAAATCACGCTGAGCATAACCACTATCAGCTACCAATACACAATTCTGCATTTCACCCCTTTCAAACTTTCCTCGTATTACTGAATTGTTAAAAATAGTGGAATCGTGTGATGACCCAGGCCACCGAGCAACAATATYTTGGATTTTTAAGTTGGCATCACATATAGTTTGAACATTAATTGAGAAKAAGCCCTTTCTGTTTCGATACATCTCTGCATCATCACCACCAGGTGACCTTATTTTGACATGTGTACAATCTAATGCACCGATAACCATGGGAAATTTAGAGATRTTATAAAAATCTTGTTTGACTTGTTCTGTTTCCCTTTCATTGTTAGGAAAATGCAAAAATTGTGGACGTAGTWAAGCAATTTCATGCGAAACAAGTTTAACTATGCGGCTGGCTGTTGACTTATGAACTCCAATAAAGTCCCCACAAAYAATCAACATTGACCCTGTAGCATAATATCTCAATGTCAGGAGGACTTTATGTTCAGTGCTTACTGCATGATTCCTGCAATATATTAAAATTGAAACTATATAAGTAATCTCATAATACATATTTTGATCAACAATTACAATAATTATAATTAACTTACCAATCGGTACGGGAGCAGATGCGGTCACATATCAAATCAATAATAAAACGAACTGTAGTTTTGGACAATCGATATCTGTCAAAGAACTCGTCATCTCTCCAATRGGTAAAATGGTCTACCCTTGGTCTAAAGATTCTTTGACGTCTGGGAAAAGCAATCATCACTACCAAGTCGTTAAAATCATCATCTTCGATATCAGAATTGGATTCAAAAAAATTTTGGTCGTGATCAAAATACATTATATGAAAATGATGAATAACGATGAATATAAAAATAAAATGTAAAACGTAATAGCTGATGTARAATATAATATTATAATTTAAATAAAACTTCACGCAAATTGAAAAATATGGTTTTATTTAAATTACAAACAAGTTTTAACAGAAACTGATAAGATAAATAATAATATCACAGAACAATATAATAAAATTGTTCTGTGATAATATGAACAATAATCAGTTGTTAAATAATTAACAACAGTTTAACCGACCATTATTGGGTGGTTAACCTAACATTCGTTTAATCATTGATTAAACATTTGACAGGCACTGTACAACGATCAAAAATCCTTAATCACTGATTAAAACATAATCATAGTTTAACCACAGACGGTACAACTGGCCCTTAGTGCATTAAATTCACAGCCCTAGTTATGACGTATCGGAATCATGTGTAGTACAGTGTTATATAAGTTAGAATAATCGACGTCATTGAGATTTATATAACATTATAACACTAAAATTATTTTTAATATATTTTATATTGAATTAAAATTTCCGTCACTATTTACAACACCGCACAATTATAAATTAAAAAAAACCCCGTTTTTAGCTATAATTAGAACCATCATGACCGTGCTCTTATTATTTACTATAAATAGTCTGATGCTCGGATGTCTGAAGCACTTCAGAAATACCCATAGTACCATTAGTACCTAGTCCTAATCCTTATGTATGAAAATATTTACGTTTATCATGGATAATATCTTATATAATAATAATAATTAATCTATAACTTATAACATATTATGCTGATGCTTGACAAAGTGATATGTTTTTATTAATAAAAAAGGACCATGACATTTTGTCATAAACCGTTACCGTTTGAATTTTATTTATGAATTTGATACAGTCGTGGACTTCTGAACGATCAAATCAATTACTAATAAGTATTACCTAACGTTTTCATGTTAAAAAAATTATTATATCTCATATTCTTAAAGTGTTCAAGGGTACAGATTGTATATTTCTTGTTGAAAAAAAAAAAAAAGTAATTACTAATGGACAGCGCAATTATGTGCCTACCACACCGTCTTGCTTACAGTTCATGAGGATAAGATAGAGTGATAGGGAAACATTATAACATTTATAACATCTCAAACTCATAGTTATAGACCAATTAGACCATAGTCATTTATTGGGATAAATATGTTTAAGATCTGTGGGGGGGGGAATATAAATTAACACAATATATTATACTCCCGAAGGTAAGTTTGGAAATTTTCGATGGGGGAGGAGGGCTAGGCCCGCTCACTAATTTACACCTATGCACATAGTTCCTTCTCCCGCGATTGATTGATTTTAAATTACTATTGAAGTATTGACTACCTACTTTCTAGAATGAGCGTCTTCCCCGCTACAGTCCTTCAATTTATTTTTGTTTTGATTTTATCTTATTTGCTTATTGTATTACTATTATAAATACAGTTTGTAAATAACTCTCTTTTGCGGGTGGTAATAATCATAGACATATTAATATTATATAGCATGGCAATAAATAATAATGAAAAAAGATCTGTTTATATACTATTTTTTATGTGTTTATATTGGCAACACTGTTTTTAATTCCCTGGACAACGTACGTACTGCAACGCGCTTGCGTGCGGCTGTTACGAATCACGATCCTTCGAAACTACAATGGTACTATCACTGCTATCTCAAATTTTGGCGGTTTTGTTCGACGCTGTTGTGGCTGTGGCCTCACCTGACGCAGAATACAACTTCCTAGTTTTTATGTGTTAGTGTGGTCTCCAGACTCCAGTTCTCTTTCACCAGTTTCACCATCTCCACTTGTCGAACATCGGAACATGATTCTTGTGCGTTTGATATTGTTTTTGACATTTGTTTACTATCTAACTATAACGATTTAAGAGTATTTACACGTTAACGACTCTTGACGTATTAATGTATTTTCTGACTAGTTTTATTTAGGTAAAAATAATTCGTCATGAATGATAATTCAAGACAAAAATTGCAATATATTTAACATATAAATATTAATTAATAATAAATAAATAAATATAAGATATATTAATTTTAAACCAGAACGGCGGTTAATTTACTAAGAAGTTATGATAGTTTCATCATTCTTTTTGAGAAATTAAATTTAGATATCAATTTATACATCAAATTCATTCCTAAAAGAAAACTGAATATCATACAATGAATACCGTAAGTATTAAAGTATTTTTTTTAAGTATCTAGATGATTATTTTTACGTAAAAATGAGATTAAAAATAAAATAAAGTTACATTATATTCTGTCATTTTTAGAGAAATATACAAAACAAATTAAATCTTGAAGAAGTATTTTGTATAGCATGCCGATGCATTTATTTACAACCTGTGACAATGCCATGTGGTCATACACTCTGTCTAGAATGTTTCAAAAATATGGTGAATTTAACAGCATACCAGTGTCCCATGTGCCGTAGACGAATTAGTAATTGGCTTCGTAAATTTAAACATGATTGGGATGCCATGCTTAATGTGAACCTTTGGGAAGCTATAAAACAGCAGTATCCAGTAGAAGTACAGAAAAGGTTAAATGATGAAGATGATGGTCTCGAAGAACGTAATAATTATTAATATTAATTTAATATATTATAGTCCATCTACAAAATATATAGAAATTCAATTTTTTTTTTCAATTCCCTTAAATGTATTAAGTGATTCATAACAAGAATGTTAGGTATTTAAAATTGACTAATATTGCATCATTGCACACATTTATCTATGTTTAGGTATTGTCAACCATGGCTTTAGTCGGGTGGAAATTAAAGAAGGAGAAATAAAAAAAGAATTTGATGATATGCAAATGAACATTTTTAAAGAACAAGAACAAAGAGAGTTGCAAAATTTGGAGTTGGCCAAAAAATTACAAGTAAATTAAATAGATTAACTCATTTCTTATAATACTTATCATGTCTTACATACATTTTGACTGCTACTAAAAGGAAGAAGAAGTTTTTAAGATTCAAACTCAAACATCTTTAAATGAAGAATTAACACGAAAAGATTCTATAATAGCAACATCTATTCAAGAAAATGTAAGAATTCACATTTTGTAAATATTTAAATTACACATGTAGTGTATATAAACATTAATATTTTTCTTAGATAATAAAAGAACTTCATCAAGAAGAAATAATTTTAATCCGATCAGATTTGGATTTGGCTACAAAATTACAAAATCAGGTGAGGAAATTGAATTAAAAAATAATATTACTTTAATAAAAGAACAAATGATTTTATATTCTAGATAGAGACTGAGACAAAAACTTGTATGAAAAAGTCAGTTTCTGAAGTGAGTTAAATTTTAAATATTATATGATATAAAATAATTGGCCAAGTATTTTCTTAATTTTTTTTCTAGAAAAAGCAAATTATAAAAGGACCTCTGGATAAAATGTTTTGTAAGTTCTTAAATATTTTAATGGCTGTGTATTGTTAATGCTGTGAATAGGTTACAAATTATAATGTATAATATAATACATATTTATGAATGTTTAGCTAAGTCAACTGGAAATAATTCTAAGGTACTATGGAATAATACACAAAAATGTAGTCTATCTAGCAGTATTTCTTCATCTAGTACAAAATGTGAAATTCCATCTCCTAATACATCATTAAGTAATACTATTTGGAGGATTTAAATTCAGTTTTATAATTGACTAAATTTATTTTAGGTTTTTCTTCAGATCCATGTGCAAGTTCATCAACTATAGATTCATCTGAAACATTTGAAGATGAAAATGTGGGTACTTGTACTTGTGGACGTTTACAAGATAACTTCACCACAGATAGTCCTTGTACATTTTGCATTGCTCAAATAGCAGCGTTGAATAAATTGTGGACTCAACAACAAAATGATTTTTTAGTGGCCAAAGATTTAGAGAAAAAATTACTCCTGAATAATTTTAACGATTATAATTTAAGGAAAAGACCAAGTTCAACCGCAAGCCTTGCTCGTAAGAAAAGAATTAAACTATCTAAAGGACAAATGACATTGAAACAAGTATTAAAGGACAGTGGCAACACAACATTGTGGAAATAGTATAAACTATTTGTGAAGAAWTATATTAACTATTAAATAATTTATAAGTAACAGTTAAAAGACATTGAAGATTTAAATATTAATTTATAGTTTTGTAATAAACAAGAATTATATCAACATTCGGTTTTTTACTCTGTTACCAAATTTATATAAAACATAACACTTGATAAATTTAATTATTAAATGAAAAGCTGTGTAGCATACAATCATAAATTTTCATAATAATAAAAACAATATCCTATTTATTTTTGATAAAAAAAATCTTATTTGTGATAAATAAATTTATACATTCATGCATTTACATAAAGAAACTTATCGTTCTTCCAGGGTTAATGTTTCTTGTGGATACAGATTTAGTTCTTTCAAAGTTTGAGTTACACCTAATGTTGTTAACTGTAAAAACAATTAATTATTTAATTACAAAATAAATAAAACAAAATATAATTATTTTTACWTACATCTCTTCTAGGCCAACTAGAAATTACTTTGAATTCTTCTTGACTGAATCCACTTATAAATAGATAGTCGAACAGCACCTTTTAAAATTATCAAATTTCAGTATTTTAGTAAGAAGTCTTTTCAGAATAGAGTTTAGGTTTTCAAACTTGATAGTGATTATATTTTTGGTGGGTCTCATTCAGTATTGGTATATTAATATACTTTTATAATATAAAATATTTAATATTAGAATATATAAACATGAATAAAAATGTTAGAAATATAATATGAATACATTCAAATAAATAGAATACAGTGTAACTATTGGCATATTTATTATGGTAAAATTTAGTTTTATCATTGATCATTATCTATGATGATCAGTAGGAATTAAGTAGGAATGGGATTTTGATGCAAAGGCATTTTTTTCTGGTATTCTGAAATATTGGTTTTAAATATAAAATGTGTTTTGGGTGATACTCCTTTTTAAAAGTAATTTTTTTTTGCATTTTGGTTCATTTTATTCGTTTTTTAAGCATTTTTCACCAACAAAAAATTACAATTTTAATATAGGCCCTTTCCACTCAAATTAATGCCGTTGTTTATCTAATTTATTATGTATTATTAATTTTTTTCAAGTTCAAATAATTAAAATGCATTATTTGGGTTTTTAGTCAATTTTTAAGTTGTTCAAGGGCATTAAAGCCAGAGCTTTAATTATAAATGTTCCAGTGATGTGTCATCACGACACCATTATATTGAAAGTGAATACAAAAATTAGTGATCATCAATGAAAATAAAAAAGATCATTAGTAAGTTGTGAGCCACCAAAATTGAATATATTCGAAATGAGTTGCACCATGAAAAGTTTTTGAACCTCTGATATAAAGAACTAAGTGAAAATGAACACATAAAGATTCAAATCTGCAATACACACTATGTATTAAACACTGATGATCAACTGAGCCATCAGAGTCTTAAAAAAATGTTTTTATTGATTCATAGTAAACATATATTTATACAGTTTTTTTTTGCATTTTAGGGTTGATTTTTTAATTGGTGTTCAATCCTTTTAAATTAGATGCACCCTAAGTATGGCTGAGAGATTTATCTTAACTAAATAATAATAATTAGAGTAATGGTCTTAAAAACAACTTGACTTTAATAAACAAGAAACATTTAGATACGAACTAAGTTAGTCAATGTTGATTTTACTGTATCAGAATGTTTAAAAATAATATTCTGTATTAATAGTATAATGAATAGTTTACTTGTAGATTATCCGATGCCTGAAACCTCCGTTCTAAAAACTTTCCTAGAGGAAGTCTGAATCTAATTTTTGTGACTTGATCGCCAGGCTCTGGTTCAGCTGGAAGAGATGCAACAATACGTTGTCGAATAGCCTAGACAAAATCAATTTATATTTAAATAAATAACACACATTTATATTTCTTAAATTAGTGTAATACCTCTTTTTCTGCAGCAACTTGTCTTTCTTGACTTTCAATTTGAGATCGAATTGCTTTTTCTTCCATTTCTTGTACTCTTTTTGTTTCTTCTTTAGCTCTAAAATTATATCTATTTGTTAATTTATATCAGGTTAAATATCAACTGATAATTTTAAAACATTTAAAGCAAAACTAAAAAACTATAAACCACAAATTCTTGTTTTATGCCAATAAATTTCTAAACTATAAATTATGATTACAATAAAAAAAATTTAAAAAATARGTTATTGAAATGTACCGATCAATAGCCAATGATTGTTGATAAGCTTCATCTTGTTCTACTTTAATCATTTCTCGCATATTACGTTCTCCTTCTTCTTTAATTTCGATTTGCTGTTGTATAGCAAACATTTCTTGAGCATTTATAAGGCTCGATAGTAATTCACTTATATTGCAATCTCCTGTGAAAATGAAAATTATTGTTATGGTAATTCAAATTAGAAAGTATAGAAAAAAACTTAGATGATGAAACATTACCATTTATAACTGACAATATTTCTGTGTTTGACCGATTACGTGTAAATAACACTAAAGCTGGTAGTCTGTTAATGTCAATAGCTCTCAAAGTTATTTCAGCCATAGTACCCAGTGACAAAGAGGCTGATTGCAATAATCTAAAAAAAAATTATATATATATATATATATATATATATTATATTTACATTACAATTTTAAATTTATAAATAGTTACCTATTTCTATTAGAAGGGTGTGTCATATCCCATCCCCATACTAAAAAATTTGTATTGAGATACTGAACGACTGATTCAAAACATAATAGTTGTGTACAAAATACATTTGACAACACACTGCGATCATGGTGTAAGTAAACAGCTAATAAACGTTTCTAAAATAAATACATTCAAAATTATTGATATTATGCAACTACTTGAGAAAAGTTTGAATAAAACGTATCATTTAAAGTTGAATTCATAAGTATTTTAAATGTTATGAAGAACAACACAAATAATATACAATATATTAGTATATAATAATTAAGGTATTATAATATAGTATAATATAATTGATTATTTACTAAATTATTAATCTATATCATATTAAAAATAATGATACTTACATCCTTAGCAGGTTTAAAACATGCAATTTTGATAGCTTGATCAAGTGTTCCCAAAAAAAACTGAGGTCTCATATCACCATAACGATTTTGAAATTCATCAATGAATTGAATACAACCAGCAAGTTCATCTTCAGTGTCTTCAGCAACTAAATAATTTATCAGCCGATTAACTACTGAAGATTAAAATATATTTTACAGTAGAGATCTTGGTGGTATCTTGAATTTTCTTATTTTAATCAATATTATAATAATATAAGATATATAAAGCTTTTATCATGATAAAATAGATAGGTATGTCAGTAATTTTTTGATACCCATTGCGTTTGCCAACCACTCCCTACCCCATTTATTAGCTGGTTTGCCTCTATATGTTGGCAGGGTAATTTAAGGGCCAATAAAATAAGCTAAACTGGAGAAACAACTCGTATCGTTGCTGACCGATTTTGTCATGATTTTTATGGTCCTTTTAATCAAACTTACTTAATGGTCGAATCCGAGTAGGTGCTTCTGTGTCCATGAACATAGTATCTACATCATCATCATCATCRTCAATACCACTTAATGATTCTGCTGCATCTTCAAATGGATCCTCTTCAGATGATGATGATGAAGTGGATGAAGATGAAGTAGATGATGAAGGCATTGGAGAATCACTTGTTTCCATGTCAATAACAGACTGCTTAAAAAGAAAAAAAAATGTACAAGGATAAATGCCAAAATTAMTAACCAAAGTATTACAGTAGTCATTCGATAACCTGGTAAAGTGGTGATGTTAAGCAAAACACTAAAAACTGCAGCATTATTTAAATGGTTTGTCAAATTATTTTATGATAAATGTATGACCATCACGACATATTTTCACATATCGAATATGTATAAATACAATTTTTAGGATACCATAAATCAATTGATAATTTTAACAAAACAATTCAAATTTTTTAATTTAGCAATATGATTTAAATATAACCAAGGTATTCATAATCAGTATACATTGTTACCAATGCTTTTTTTGTAAAAGTATATTAAAGTTATTTATTTATCTTATCAGTTTTGTTGTAAGTAGGTATATCAAATAAAATATAATATTAAGCAACATTTTAATAAATAGTCACTATAAATATTATTAAAACACATTTTTAATTAGCATTTGCAGGTCAATCATAAATTACTAACCGGTTCCATAATTGATTAAAGGTTATATAATAATCATAATAATACAAAAAATACTTACACTTAATCTAGTGTTGTATCTTCTTCTGGTATGTTTAAGTATTGAATTTGAAGGTTTCAATTTAAAATCATGTACTGGGTAATTAATATGAGATTCTTCCAAAGTTGTAGCTGGAGTAACAAAATGTGGCCAACCTAACCATTGTTGATTACTAACAGGTAATTTAGTCAAGCTTGCAACAACTTCTTTCACTTGTGCAACAGTCTGATCAGATGAGAATGACAATTTATAAACTTGATATTCACTTGAAGTTGTAGCTTCCATTGTTATATTTAAAGTGAACATTCGCAAGTTTGCTCTTTAAAACAGTAGTAAAAAAAATATTAAACTACCTAGATAATATAACCATAATATGAAATTAAATAGGTATAAATATTATACCTTCCATTTAGCTCATGGTTTAAATCTTCATTACCACTCATAAGATTTAGCTTAAATCTATCTGGAAGGTTCAATTTGGAAAGTGTATCTTTATTGGAAGGGAGTTGATTATTTGGCCATCCATTAAAGTTTTGTAGGCAACATGGTATGTTACATTCAGCATACACTAATGTCTTTAAGTCATCTAGAATAAAAATGATCATAATTATTAATTAGGTAGGTTTTTATAATATGTAATATTTAAAAGATTGTATAGTTACAATAACAAATATAACAAATTCTAAGTTGTATAAATTAAAGAACCAAATGATCATAGTAATAAGTAAAATTAAGAAAAAACATTGGAATAAGGAATTATATTTTGTTGCAATATGGAACTAATAAAATTATTATAACTGTTAACTATTAACCTACAATTTTTAAAATTAAGTATTGGTTCTTTAATAATTAATCGAGTTATATATGTAGTATGTATAAATAGAAATCACTAAATTAAAAACACAGAATGCTAATAACATTTAAATTACACTCAAATCGTATAAAATTTAGMAAAAATGGTCAGGTGTCTACTATCAGTCCGACCATGGTCGGGTGCCCATTAAAATCCTGACTATGGTTGGGTGTATATACACAGCGTAAAATTTAGCAAAAATTGTGTAAGTACAACTTTTTTGAATTTTATGATTTTGAATAAGCAATAGAATAAAATATTTATGAACAGATTGATTTTATTACAAAGCAATAAATAAATTGATTTAAAAATGAAAATAAATTACCTATTGTTGAACCATCATTAACTTTTAATGTGGCAATAATATGGCCATTTTGTTCAATCTCAATGGTTATTAAACGGCGAGTTTCATTTGACGTTGACGCAGTCATACCGCTGAAATCGTCTGCAATCATTACAGTTGGTGCGCTCAGTTGAGTACTGCGTCCTTCAGAAGGCAAATGTTGAGTGTGTTGTGGTGTAACATGTTGGACGGCAGCCTAAACAAAACGTGGAAAAAGATAAAGTGGATATGGCAAAGCCATAACAAATACCACGTTTTGGTGCAAAGCTCAAGTAATTACCAGTAAGTCCCAATTGAAATTCGACAAGTGCATCAACGCTTCGCCTGCATTGTCGATACCGGTGATGGCCTATAACACAACAAGACAGCAACGATAGAAGAAAGTCGGTGGATCTCTTTGACCTCCACGTTTGGGAGTATGTTACTAGGTATTATTATTACCTGAAAATCGGCTATAATGCCGTTTTTGTCGTCCATATTTCAGCGGAGGGACGAGAGAAGTGGCGTCGGTATAACGAAATAATCACTAGCCAGATCAATTGGACATGACTGATATCACTGTGTTTGGTATCGCTAGCGACGGGGTCCGTGTCGCAGGACAAAAGTTTACTCGCGCGCGATGTAACGATCGACGCCCGACGAACAAAACTGGGACGTTTATATCACTTGTGCGACACACTGACGAAACGATAAGTAACAAAGACGTCGTGCTGCGAGCTGAAATCTGTACCCTACGACGACCACTGCGACTGTAATATTATTATTATTATTAAAGTTCAAAATTATTACACTCCCAGCGACACGGTCGTCACGGTATCGACATTCGACGGAGAGTAGAGAGACTAAAAGGCAAGAACAAACTGCGGCGCACACACGACACACAACGGGAACGTCGGGAACAACGGCGTAGGCCAGCTGTTTAACGTCGGCGGTGCGGGACCTCCACAGCCAAGGTATCAACCGTGACTAGTCACTATATTATTATTATGAAGTGATTGTGCTTTGTGTACTTTACGGTCCTGGTAGTGGTTGTGTGCGTGCGTAGCGTTGATCCGTGGGTATTGTTATATTTTGTTTTGCTATCTATACACAATATTATAATATATATGATATCACAATTATAGTTTTTAGTTCACAGTAATGTCTTTGTACGATAGTCGTGGCTAGCTAAAAGTATTGTTCTGTGCTAAAAGAGAAATCCGAGCACCTGACAACAGCTGCTGATAATACCATCTGTTGTATATATATATAGTACCATATAGTACGCGTTTCCCATTCCACGTTGGTAAATGGTATTGTTCTGTGATTTTACTATGATTATACCAATAACACTGGACGGTGTGGTATTCTGTGATATCGCCTGTTGGATAATTGGGTGCTCGCAAGCTTCACAACCTTGGCGCATTGTACTTAAACATTTGAATATAAATTTATTTATATATTTTATACAGGGTGACTCTTTTAAGTGGGTACACTAATTATCTCGAAAAGTATTTACTTTTTTCAAAATATTTTTTTACATGTTTTCAAGTGGTTGGAAAACCAACATTTTTATTAAAAATAATATTTTTTAAATATTTTTTATCTTTATGATTTTTTAAGTTTTTAATTTTTTGAATGACAACATAGAGTTTTAATTTCAACGAGTGTGAAGTTGGGGGACCAAAGCTGCTAGGGGGCTATTTTTTTGGACGACTAGTGATAAGAAACTTTGTACACCTGGTTGCAGTTTATTATTTTCAAGGCGCTCAACGCTTAAATTACATTATAACACAAGATAGCGCCATATAATTCACCAGTGAATACTGATTTTACTGATTTTAGTATTGTATAATATACTGTTTATTATATAAGTACTTAGATTTATACGATCGATCGGTACAGGCGGGCGCGCGGTTTTAAATTTTTTTGACAATGTTCCGGAAGGTGGTGAAGGGATTTGATAGTATATTCGGAAAGCCAGGAAAATTGTCTACAAGTTAATTATGAATCAAGAGTGCACACGGGTCAACCTTTTCCTGGCTTTCCGAATATACTATCGAAATATAGAAAAGATATCTACTCTTCAATGTGGTTTGAATCCTAGATAAAATGTCAGACTGCCCACACTATTTTATAATATGAAATTGAAATGAACACCAGACGGCTAGACTATAAAATTCCAGAACAGAAAATAGAAAATGTAAACATTAAATTGTGTTATCAATCTAATATCTATTTTGTGTCGATATTTAGTATATTAAAATAATGTTATCATTTTTTTATTGTTATTATTGGCATTTCGCGCCAATTTGTACGATACACGGAATAATAATAATTAATGTTACTCTATGATACATAATATTACTTATTGCACAGTGCAATTTGCTGCCTCAGCGTCAGTGTCAGCATTCAACTTCAGTCTTCAGTTGCGATTTACGATTTTTAAGTGTACAGCCTATTATTTTAATTCACTATTGTTGCTATTCGTCTGCCTTTACTTAAGCCGAGTTGCAGAGAATAAAGATCAATTAACGTCAGTCAAATTTATTTTATCTTAACTTGTTTACGTACTGCAATTTCATTGACATTCATTATTTCAACTTATATAAATACTGTTCAAAGATTACCCTTCCGCCGTCTCGTTGCCGTCTAGGTAATATTAATATATTATTGTGGCTTGAATTATTATTTACATAATACTAAGATTGTTTCACTACTGGGCTACTTCTTTTTCAAGACAATGCACCTTCAAATTAACTCTAAGACATCAAACTTGCATTTGGTTTCTTCATCTATCACACTTGCACATTTATAGTATGACAAATTAGTTCAGTAAAACCAATTTTATGTTGTTAGCTTTATTATTAGAGCAAACTGACTCATTATCAAATTTAAAGGTGAGAATAATATCCAGGCCAATGAATCTCATTGAATTTTAAACTTCAAGTGAGATAATAATCTTCAAACTGTAATATCTTACATACCCTTTAATATAGTAACCTTTAAGTTTGATAAAGGTTAAATTCATTCTAACTTTTAAATGTATGCAACTTAATGTGATAGGCTTTATTTTAATTTGCTATGTTATGCGCTTGTGAGATGGAGACAGTAAAAATATCTGTTTGTTGTCTTCTTATGTAAATATATTTAACATAACATGTATTCCTTAAAAAATGTTAACYATTATTTTAATGTACAATTAAACTTTCAATACATGTAAGTTATACCATCCTCTAATGTTGGTCAAAATAATAGTAGAGCATTATTGAGCATATAGAAAAAGTGGACATATCTTTAATTTATTGTGTTGTAGAGTAAATACAATTATTATCAAAATCAACAAATTATAATCACTTTCAATACTGCCTCCCATGTATGTATTAATATTTGATTCTGTCAATAAACGATGGCGGCGCCGCGGAAGCAATGCGAAAGCAGATCCCGCGGCGTCATCGGTTAAAATGGAAAAAAAAAAGTATGTTATTATGATGCTTATATTATTAAAAGTATCACATCATGGCCAATATCATAATATGTATCATACAATTAGATATTTTATTGTTAATAAAATAACAAAAAACTGTTTTGTAACTATATATGTTTTATTTTTCTAGGATAATTTGATAAAATGACAAAGTCTGCTATGAGAGGCGCATTAATTGTTTTAGAAGGCTGTGATAGATCAGGAAAAACAACACAATGTGCAAAACTGGTTGAAGCTTTGAATAATATGAAAATACCTGCAAAAAAGATATCTTTTCCAGATCGATCTACTCCTATTGGTTCATTAATCAATGATTATTTATCAAGAAAAATTGAGTTACCAGATCGATCAGTACATTTATTATTTAGTGCTAACCGTTGGGAACTAGAACCAGAAATTCGTAAGCAAATTGAATCTGGTGTAACATTAATTGTGGATCGGTACTCGTATTCTGGTGTAGTTTTTACAAGTGCTAAACAATGTGTGGATTTTAAATGGTGTTGTGGACCAGAAAATGGTTTACCTAAGCCAGATATAGTGATGTTTTTAAAATTATCAACTAGTGAAATGGCTAAACGATCTGGTTTTGGTGATGAAAGATATGAAAATATTGAATTCCAAAACAAAGTTGATATCAATTATGATAAATTTAAAAATGATAATTTTATTCAAGTAGATGCAGCTCAAGATGTGTCAATTTTAACAGATACTCTTTTAGCACAAGTTTTAAAAACTATAGATACTGTTAAAAACCAAGAATTAGACGATTTAGTTTTACCATAAAATCAAGTTACCAATGCTAACAATATTACCATAGTACATTTTAAATCACTTGATGAATTATTTTTTCTTAAATAATCTTCATTTCACTTTATTATGTTTTGTAAAATTTGTATAATTAATATAAATGTTATCAATTATTTTCAAATCACTTTTTTAAATTAAGTTAATGTATACCTACCTGGGTTTGATTTAATTATAATTAGTATTCATAAGTTATTCTTAAAGTTATAATTTTGAGAGTATCAGAAGATATGTTTTTTTTTTACAAAATATTGAATATTAGAAAAACATCAAATGATTCTTATTTATTTATTCAGTGACATACAATATACCTAATATATATTATTATATAATTTACCAATTAATTATGTGTTATAATTGGATAGGCTATTGTTAAAATCTTATACATTTATATATAATATAGCCACAGACACCTGATTCAGTTCATTTATTATATATATATACATTAATGCAACAATACAAAGACATTAAATTATAGTTTATCTATATTGTGGTTCATACTTACTGCTATAGTCAAGGATTGGGAAGTATCAAGTATAATGTATCTTATTTTGCCAAAAAATGGAAAATACTACATTTCTACTGAATAAACCTTTGATTTTGATTTGCAGGACACACTTATTATACATTTAGACAAATACTGAGTGTAATTGTGGTACAACAGCATTAAACAAGTTGTTTGCTAACATGTTAAAGCGATGTTGCCTGTGGCTTGTTGACGACAAAATAGATTAATCTAATTATCTATATATTATTATATTACTCTACTATCCCATTCTACTAAAATAATATTAAATTTGCGCCTTGTGGCACTACCAAGAATATTATGGAATCATATATGAGCAAACAATTAAAGAATGAGTGCACGTTTTTTATACATTCAATATGCATTGCTTGTTAGATGTAGATATGTAGTATATAAGCCATTAAAT